AGCCCAAATAATGTCAATAGTGTATATAATACCTCATCTCAGAAATATAGACAGATACTAAACCAGTTGTCTTGATTACTATTCCTTGAAACTTTCCTCAGTAGAATTTCATAAGCCAATTTTTCTTTTGTGAAGAACATTTGCATTTCTGTATAAATAACTTGGGGATTTAGCTCACAGTTTCTATGGAGCACTGGATAGATTTTAACAATTCTACAGCTGTGGATCTTCTTATATGTGTTGACAAGAGGAAATGTGAATTTTCAGAAAATTCTGAAATGTTGGGCCTCAGCATTTGTGTCATAAATTAATTCCCACTCAATATAAATATATAGTTTTTACATTGTTCAGACTGTTGTCTTCATCTTTATTATTACATTCACAATGTTTCAGTCATTGTACTCACTGGTCTTCTTCATGTGGTATTTGTTTGACTGTTCTTAGTTCTAATTCAATCTATATGTTGACATTTCTGAAGATTGGTTTGATGATGTTTGTGTAAAAATTTGGATTTTCTTTGAATGGGGCTGTCTTCTGCAGCTTTTATTCTCACTTGCATCCAGATAATTCTTTTGTCATCAAACCAATCTTCAGAAATGCCAACAGATTGACTATTGTGTGTTTAGTTTGAAAATTCAAACATATCACCTGAGGAAGGCTGGAGCATACAATGTCTGAAACGTAACGATAAAGATGGGGACAACAGTCTGAACAATGTAAATACTTACAATACCTCCTCTCAGAAATATAGACATATACTAGCAGCATGGCCTGGCATTACCCGTGCTTGATTCAAAAATCGTACGACTCGTACAGCAATCGCTATCACTTGACTTAAAATATTCTTGCCCTTCCTTGCTTTTAAAGGAGTGCCCTTTGCCGTTCTGATGTTTGCTACATGCCTTACTTCTTGCCTATCTCACACTGCAAATTTTTTCTAAGCTCTATACTAAACATTAAATCTGTTACTTAAAAAAAGAACTAAACAAAATGAACATAAAATGATCAGCTTAAAAAAAAAAGACTCATAACTGGAAAAACCAAATGAAAAAGAATGTTAACAACAAATACTTTTTTCACACCCAACCCAGTTCTATGGAATCAGAATCAACGTTGAGTTTAAGCAAAGTGAATGAGACAATTGGAGTAAAGTGCCATGCAGATTTAAATTTTTCCCACTTGTGACGAATGCAGCTACGATTTTTTTTTTTTTTGCATGCTAGTTAACATTCGTGTCAGTCAGTTGTTGGCTCTCACACTGGCCAATAGAATCTTCCTGCCTATTTGTGGCAGCCAGCTATTGGCTCTCACTCTGGCCAGTACAAACAAGTAAAACTACATGAAAAGTGCCGTGAGAAGCATGAAAAAAAATCGATTATTTCCACTATCGATGGGAGTTGGGAAATGCAAAGTCAGTCTTGGCCTTCCCACTAACTTGGAGCATGTGCATGTAAATTTTAATGCACATCTGTCGAAAATTGCAGCCGTGCATTCGTTACACACACACATCCTGACTTTTATAGACATATATAGTTGTATAAAATACAATCTGTTTTGTGATGTATTTTTATTATAATGTGTTGGTGGGTGTTGTTTAGTTTAAGTCAGTACGACAGCATATTTGGTCAAAACCAAAAATGTTGGCACCCATGAGAAATCTCTATCAGCATATAATCTTTTCTTTTCCCCAAAATGAGCCAACGCTATAATAATGCAACAATGACAGTGTTAATCAGCACTTTAAGATGATGCCCGTTGTCATGTAAGTAGTTTTTTTTATATATTACTAGTGTTAAATCTTGTTTCTAATTAGTGGTTACCGAATAGTACTGACATTTATGCTTGGCTTACTGATTAAATTATTTGAGTTATTAACTCCTATTGCTGTCTTCTTTTGATATCATTCATAATTTTCCTTTTTTTAAAATTGTACTAGAAAACTAATCCGACAGCTCAATTAAATTTCATGAAGAGTGTCATTTGCAATATCTTCAAAATGCATAACAATTATGAATGTATGTATAAGGGTCAGCTGAAAAGTTCATAGGCTGACCAAGATATAAATATAAGTAGACACACCAATTGGTAGACTAAAAGATCTGCGGATCAGCTGTTGTAATCTGATACATTTGTATGTCTTTTGATCTACCAATTGGAATGTCTACTTACATTTATATCTTGGTCAGCCTATGAACTTTTCAGCTGACTCTCATAGCATATCACCAATAACTAATATCCTCATCCAGACCTGCCTCATGGTTGAAGTAATTGCATATTTCTCACAAGTCCATACATTGAATATTGCTGCTCTGTCTGGTCTGGTGCTCTGGCTATATATCTCAAGATTCTCGACAAAATCCAAAGAAGGGTCTGTAATATTATTGGATCTAACCTGGCATCTCAACTTCAATCACTTTCCTACCACCATCACATGGCTTCCTTCTGTCTTTTCTACAAATAATTTCATGTCAGTTGTTCTAATGTGCGGTACCTTGACCGAATGAATTTAAGCATGTTACTATATTGGCTATTAGGTCTCATCAATTTACTGTTGAATTAGTTAGATGTAACCATAATGCTAATAGTTTTTCTCACTTCTCGCCTATGGATCTCTCTTCTGGTTTATTGTTTCCTTGCTGCCTATGATTTTCAAAAAATTTAAATGCAATATTGATCATGCCATTTTCTGTCTTCCTGATTCCTCTTTTATTGTCATTCCTGCTCACTAGTCTTCGCATTCTCTTCCCATCCTAGTAACTCCTTGCGTCTTAGTGGTATTGTCACCTTGCTTGGGATGAAATGATTAAAAAAAAAAAAAATCCAGATCATAGTTTCTGTTTTGGAAAGATTTATAGTAAGTTGTACTTCTTAGAGCAAAAAAAAAAAAAAATAAAAAAATAAAAATCATAATTTGTCTAGAATTTAAAATTTTCAAAACAAGTCTTCATAGATTTTCCTACTCTCATTTCATCTTCTCTCAGCTTAGTAAGCATCAATAACAAATAACACAATCCATTATTTGTACTTTCTCCCTCAAGAGGAAAATGCTTTTGTAGTAATGATTTTTAAACTTAAAAAAGAAAAGAAACAAAAATAAAAGCCAAGAAGACATTTCAACAGGAGGTAGAGTTTATTGCTAACTTTTGGTTGTCTTTTGGTTTAGCGAGATTCCATGGACCCAAGGTTGCTGACCCTCAAGTTTTGTATATTAAAAAACCCACTTGGTCTGAATCAGCCAACTTGGAATAATAATAATAATAATAATAATAATTGTAATAATAATAATATTAAAACATTTGTCAGCAGTTTTCTTATGGCAGGTGTATTTGGCACTGTGTATGTATTTTCATGTTTGTGTGTGGAAAAAAGAGATGGTCTTGTAATTCTTGTAGATTCAATCGTGAGTGTTTGTTGAAAGAATTTGGTTAAAGTATGTGGTTAAGTTTTTAAAGATTTGTGGATATGCTGTTGAGTTCCTGTGGGTGTAAGTGAACTCGACAGGTCAAGGTGATGTGTGAGAGGTAGACAATGTTGCACACAAATGTGGCAGCAAACACACATGCAAAAGTGTGCATGCATAAATATATACACACTCATCATACATACATACATACACACCCATTATACTCCCATTAAATTTATCTTTGTGTGTGTGTGTGTGTGTGTGTGTGTGTGTGCAACACACACACACACAAATGTGCTGAAAAGATCTTAGCTAGACCAAGGAGCCCTTAAAAATAAAAAAAAAAAATTCTGGTGTTTGGTCATTTGGTTAGATTTTAGGAAGTTGGTTGGGATGAGAACTTTTCAACATTTGTGTGTGTGTGTGTGTGTGTGTGCTTGCTTGCTTGCTTTTATTCATGTATATTCCCATTCAGCCACAGCAAAAATCTAGATTCACACGCTCAGGCACACCAATTTCAGTAAGTCAGTAAATATAATTATTTCTTAACAACTTGTTTTAATTCAATGTACCTGAGAGTAAGGACATATCCGCAGGGTTCGTAGAAAGGCAGTGAATATCTGACACTCAGCTCCAATGACCTAAGGGTCAAATCCTGACAATGTCCATTCCAGACAAAGTCTCTGTGAAGGTGTGAATGACACAAGAGGAACTTAAACCCACACTGTCACATAAAGGGTTTGTGCTAAAATTGTTAGAGATGGGGCGAATGAAATAACAATTGGTCTGGCTTTTTAACATTTATCATGGTAAAAGGCTACAATAGTGGAGCACAAAATCAAGATAGAACTCACTAACAATTGCCTGTGAGAATAGCTTGATATTTTTACAGCATGTGCCCTGATATAGCACTCATGAGAGAATGAAAAGATCTCAATAAATTTTGTTTCCAGCAATTTAATAGAAAAAAAAAGAAAGTGTAATGAAAATAAATTTTTATACTACGGGCAATTAATTTAGTGCTTTTAGGAAATCTGAAATTCACAAGAAGTTAATTTACACAGGTTGGCGGGTGGCGGAGATGTGCAGATAATCATTAGTAATGTTTGATAAATTGTTTTTTTTGCAGGATCTTTACATGGGACTTAAATTTGGGAAATGGAAATCATAATTAGGCTAGAATTACATCATCTTTCATTCTTCTTTTTCTCTCAACCGAGACATGATATTATCCGGAGTTAAATAAAGTTCTATACAAAAAAATAAAATTAATCGTGGCCTTATGGAACATAAATGATTCATTAATTATCCAATAAATTAACTGCTGCTGACCTTTGAACCCATCAATGGACTATAGCCTTATATAATTTTGTTATGAGACTGATGTTGTGGGAGGGTTGTTTATAAAAGTTGTGGGGGGGGGTGTGTGAATGAATATTAACATTGAATAACAGCTGTGATGAAAGACTTATCTTTACTTACTTACTTTATATATATATATATATAAATATATATATAAAAAGTTTATGTTTTGTATGTGTGTGTTTGTGAGTTGTGAGTATGCATATATAAAACATAGCTGACACATTCCATTCAGCTAAGATACATCATCATCAGGATGACTTGTGAGACTGGTTGCTATAGAAACATGGTCCGGATTGGATGAGGCTGTGACAGTAGGAAGTGTAAGTCCTGAAGGTGATGACGTGGTAGTCGAAGCTCCAACGAGAGACTGCTGCTGTGTGGCGGTGGAACAAGAAGAGGAGGTCGGGGAGGAGGAGGAAACGGATGAGGCAGTGATACCAGCAGCTGTTGTGAGGTGATGTCCACTGTTCCCCGCTGCTGCTTGCATCACTCCTGCTGCGGTCAGCACAAGGCCGGCATTTGTGCTCATGTTCAAGGGGCTGTTGTTGACTGTTAGTGCCATACCAGATGGTAAGGTAGTGATGGCAGCTGCACCCCCACTTGTGCTGCCAGCCTCACCATCTGCACACAGATTGATTCCACCCATGGACCCATTAGCTGCTGCTGCTGCCACTGCAGCTACAGCAGCACTGTTCAAAATTTGGCTTGAGGTCATGGAGGTGGCCGATGTGCTTGTGGCACTCATGCTTTGCACAATTTGTAATTGGGGTCCAGTAAGGGAGCTAGGGGGGTTAATCCTTTTCTCCTTTTGCCGCCGATTGCAGAACCAGACACGCACCACTTCTTTCTCCATCGTGAGGCTGTCTGCCAGCATGGAGATTTCCTCTGAAGAAGGCTTTGGATTTTGAATGAAGCTTTTTTCCAGAGCAACACGGATTGAAGACTCTATGCTGGTCCGTTTTTTTCGGCGGCGACCAATGGATTCGGCAGTAACTGGAGATCCTGGCAAAGAAGAAGGATTTGATGACATCGAGTCGGCGTCAGCCAACCACTTCTGCAGCAGAGGCTTTAGTTTGCACATGTTCTTAAAACTCAAGTTGAGAGCTTCAAAACGTGAAATTGTCGTCTGGCTGAAATCATGTCCATACAACTTGCCCATTGCCAAGCCAACATCACCTTGGGTGAAACCTGAAAAATAAGTGACTCAGTAATATTAATTCATATATATATATATATATATATATATATATATATAAAGCATGAATATTAAAACATTTGCAAAAGAACAAATAAAACAGGGTAGAAAAAAAGATATATTATTTGAAAATCTACTGATTGCAGGAAGGAAGATTGTATTATATTTATTTCTTTAAGAGCTTTGCACTTGAAAATTGGCTTTTGTCAGACATGGACCAACTTTTCCAGAAATAAAATTGTTATTGATTTCTTTACTTAATACTTGAGAAAGTAAGATTTTTTTTTTTTAAAAGAGAGAAATATGGGGAAATAGCAATAGATAAATCAACACAACAGATTTAGATTAAGTTGTTTAATTTTGTTTAGTGGCATATCGAAACCTCTATGGGTTATTTAATGGCAAAATGTAAATATTTTGTATGCAATTTTATTTGTTTATATTTTTGGTAGATAATAATGATTTTAGCGATACAAATCTTACTAATTAACTCGTAGCTGGGAGGGGGAAGAGGTGGATTTATATTTTTCCCAAAGGTATTTGTGTGTAAGTGAATATAACGAACCTGACAGGAATTGGAACTCAGTTCTGCAATTAACAATTCTGAGTTGTTACCTATTACACCACCTGCACATCCAAGCTTACAGCACCTGATATTTCTAGGCAGTCACCAATCTAGGTACTGACCAGGCTTAATGTTGCTTAATTTTGGTGATTGTATGGAAAACAGTGTTTCAACATGAAGTAACTGTAAGCCCCAGAAAAATAACGAGCAATTTGATATTTGGATATCTACATGATATTCAGCTTGATATTTGGATACCATTTATCTATGTATTTGAGTCATTTCTAATAAAAGAATTAAAATTTATCTTTAAATGACAAATTGCCCTGAAAATGAAATTATCTTAACACTTTCCATATGGATTGATCAGCCAAGAGAAAAACATGAAATTCATATCTTGACAAAACTGGTCATAAGCCAAGTACATGTATTCAGCCCGAATAAGAAGTTATTTTAAAATTAATTCTGATGTTTGAACATTTCATCATTTGGGAAATGGGCCTTACCAAAATAAATTTTCAGCACCCTCCACTGTACAATATATTTTGTATATATATTTATAGAAGATTCAACTGTGTAAATAGCTATTTGTTTAGTGGCATATCAACTCCTATATGGGTCATTTAATACCAAAATTTAATTTTCTTGGGAGCATTAGTAATTTCTTTTCCAAAAATGTATTGCTGGTAATTTTTTTTTTTTTTACAATGTAGTGATGATAATTTTTTTTTTTTACTATGAAAATGTATTGCTATATAATTTTATACTTTCATAGTGTTTTGACCCCAGCTCTTTCACTATTTTCCCATAGCTGGGACCCTAACAGGTGCTACCACCCCAGGTCAGGGTGGACCTGGGAACAATAGCAATTAAGAGGTGGTCACACACTCCTGAAAGCCTCCCAATCAGAGATTTCAGTGGCACAGAAGTGCATTAAATGTATTGTTTAATTTGAAGTCCCTTTTTTGTTAGAATATTCTTTTCTTTAAAATTCAGTAGGAGGCGAGGGGAGTTACGGATAGCGGCTCAGATTAAGGAATCAGAGAGCCAAGTTTGAATTCCAGTTGAATCCAACACTGAGAATCAACAATCTGTTTCATGCTTGAATGCAATCTTTAGGTTTATATATATATATATATATATATATATATATATATATATATATATATATATATATATATGAAATAAATCTTAAAGAGCCAGGAACAACCTACCTAGGTTTCACCTAAATGGCTCTTCAGGGTAAGTGTATTGTACAATATTTTCAAACAGAAATTATGCTAAATTAAGTTATAGTTTTATGCCGAACATGGATAACTTAATAAATATAACAGGAAAAAAATCATAGACAAACTACACGCCAACCCCCCTAAATATAACTGTAGAAACAGGGATACCTGCCCACTTAAGGGCAGGTGCCAACAAGAATGTGTGCTTTATCAAGTTGAAATACACAAAAATAAACCTAATAGTAATAATAAAAATATTAAATTTTACATAAGATCCACCCAAGGTAATTTCAAAAAGCATTACTACAATCATTTAAGCAGCTTTAAGCACAAAAATTACAAACACAACACTAGCCTGTCTACATACATATGGAATATTAAGCAGAAAGATGGTATTTGACCCCATCTTAAAATGGGAAATACTAAAAAAAAATGCCATTAGTATAAAGCAGGGGACAAGTATTGCTTATTATGTATGGAGAAAAAATTAGCTATAGCCACCTTTGATGAACCTAATAATTTATTAAATCAAAGATCTGAGATTTTAAATAAGTGCAGGCATATGAAATCCTGGTTATTGGTATAGAGGCTATGTTTTATTTTTTTTCTCCCTATCTTTTTCTATCATGAGGTTTTATGCTAATTAGTTTTTAGTGGTTTTATCACTAAATACATTTTAATGCCATTTCCGCTTTAGCTAGCTTACCCTGAAGATCCATTTAAGAGAAACCTAGGTAGGTTATTCCTGGCTCTTTAGAATTTATTTCATTTATACCCACTCTACTTAGCATATTGATAACTCTACGGTTTAGCTTTATTACTCACTTGGGGTTTATTCTTTGGACTAAAAACTTAAGGCACTGGACGATTTATTTCTCTCTGTTCGGATGTTTCTAGTTTCTTTTTTCCAAACAGTGGAACAAGTGGATGATGATTACAATAAATTTCAATGGTTGAAGCTGTGGATGAAGAGGGCTGCACATCAAGGACATGCTACAGAAAGCACCACTCAAAATTATAGTTAGTATGTTGCAGTTTCATAATTGGATCCTGCATGTTCCATTCCATGTGTGCCACAGAGGAAGGCAATGAAATCAAATATGTGGGTCACTTCCTGGCAAGTTGAGGTCCATTCTTGCAAAACCAAATGGTGATAGGGAATGGATGACAGGAGAAGGTCTTGATGAAACTGTAAGCTTCTCATCCTGAACCTGCACATTGGGGGTGAATGTATTTAGCAATACCCATAAAGGAAATGATCAGAAAAGAAGAAATTAAATTCTCCGATACAAGATAAAGCATACTCACTCTCTCTCTCTCTATATATATATATATGTGTGTGTGTTTAGGTGTATATATGTATGTATGTATTTGTATTTATATATATATTATATATATACACATGTGTGTATATTTGTATGCTTTGCTCGATGTGTTTACATGTATGTATATATGTGCGAGTGTACATATGTAGGTACATATGTATATATGTGAGCCTTTCATTTACCTTGCATGATTTCCTATTAGAATAAGTTTACAAAACAACATTATTATTATTATTATTTTTAATATTCTTTTTGAGATTTTCGATATTTTTTTTATACTATTTGGAATTTTTAAGTTTTTAAACTTTTAAATTTTAACTATTGTTATTAATATTAATAATTTTTTCTTTTATTTCATTTTATTGGTAATCTTTAAAATAATGTCAAGTGTTAACTGTAAATTATATTAATCTGTATTTTTGAAATTAACCGCAATATGCCTTTATTTGATCATTTATTCTTCCTTTTTTTTCTTTCTCCCTTCTTCCCCCATCTCTGCTTCCATTTATTTTCTATTATGTCTTATCTTTTTTTTTCCTTTTTTTTCTTTGTATTCCTACCTTTTCCTGCAAAAGGACTTGTTAAATAGGTCAAAATATCTGGCACCTTACACTTAGGTGTCTTAAAGATAGATTCAAACATATTCCTATCTCTCCCTTCCCTCTCTGATTTTAATCATATCTGTCAACCTGCTCTTCCTCCCTCTCTCGATCACCTTACATCAACTTAAAACTATTCTTCAAAAACTTGTATAAAAATAATATGTTAATTTTTAAACCATTTTCTTTTATGCTTGGAAATATGATGAGATTAACCAGGAAAAATCCCTTTCCTGGGGGAATAAAATATAATCAATGGACCCTTAAAGAAGTTGCCTGTCTTTTAATTAATTTATATATATATATATATATATATATATATTTATATATAAAATAAAGACAATTTAGCAGTATAAATGGCTAGAAATTTAAATTTGAGTTAACTTAAAATTGGTAAAAATTTTAGCAATAAATTAGGTCTGGAAAGGATTAAGCAAATATTAAATATATTAAGACCAGATTAATAGGGGAAAAAAAAAAAATCACACAAACCAAGTTCTATTCGTCGTCTCTTGAAAGTCTTTGCAAATTGCTCCAATTCTTCCAAGTCAATATTTTCCTCAGGCTAAAATCAGAAAAAAAAAATTCAAATAAAATAAACGTTCAATTATTTTTTATGATCAACTCATTTTTTGATCAGTATACAAATGAATCTACGTCATCTTTGAGTTAATAACAAACCATTAAATCCAAGTTTTAATAATACAAATAACCTATAAGGTTAGAATAAGTGAATGTAGACATTTATACAATAATTTGGTTAATGGCTAATTCATTTACTTATTTACAAGTATTAACAATAAATAATAATTATGACATGCTACTTTAATAATGTCTCATAATTTGAAGACATGCAAAAATATTGAACAAAATCTTGAACATTTATCTAAGCAGTCTCATTTTTCATGAAATTGACAAGAAAAGATGTCTTTTTAGTTTTGACAATATTGTTGTCTGCACTTCAAAGTTTGCATTTAACACTTAATTTACATATACTTCACTATACAAAGTCTGGTAGAGTGCAGTAGGAAGAAGTTTTAAGATAACTTTGGCACAATCCATGCCATACACTTATGTTTCAGTTCATCTCTGTTGTTCATGGGTATTTTGCTTACTTTTCCATGACTTTAAAGGCTATGTTCCCCTATTGTCCGGTTCACACTCCTCCCTGATCTTTTGAACAAGAGTAGAGATTTATGCCTTGTTTCCTGTTTAGGACTGGGTTTCTGGTTCCTTCAATAGTCTTTTCATTCTCTTTCACTCCCAGTAATCCCTTGCATCTTGGTGGCACTATCACCTCGCTTGGGGTGAATTAATACAGAAAAAGAAAATTTCCTAAAGCACTGTGAATTTACAGGACTAACTCTTCTTGTCTCTCAGGGAAGTTCTCTTAAAACCTACTAGGTGGTGTTGTATGAAGCTGTATAGCAGGAAAAGACAAACTCTCTTCCTTTTTTTTGCTTCCTTTACCCACAGGATGCTGTAGTGACAATATGCCTCTTGTTTCTCCTTTTGGGAGACTTAGTCACATAGTAAACCAACTTCTTAATCTTAACCAAACCATGTGGCATGCACACACACGCACACACACTACAGCTAATCACGTAAGTATATATTTCTCTTCCTTTTCTGAACTATGTTATATATATATGTCTATTTATTTTTGTTTTAATCCTTTCAAGTCCACAAATTAATTTCTTGTTGGCTGCAGAAAATTGATTAAGAAAAATTCCAAAATTTTCTTTTAAATAATTTATATTTTCACAAATACTTCCAATCTCATCTGAGACTATGTTCAGGAGTTGCATATCTATGGATGTGTTCTGCAATAGCACCATAAATTCAAAATATTTTTTACCTCTATGCAAGGGATGTAACTTATGTGATTATTTTAAAAGATTGAAAAAAAAAAAAAAAAAATTTCAAGTTTTTTTTTTTTAAATTATAATATTTTAATTTAGTATTTTTTATATAAAACTTTCAGCTACAAACATTTAAGAACTTTGTTGCTATACTCATACTTGACTTTATTTACTTTTAGCCACAATTTTCTTATATAAAGTCAACTATGATTATAGCAACAAAGTTCTTAGATGTCTGTAGCTGAAAGTTTTATATAAAAAATACTAATAACTTCTAGTTCCTCCAAATTTGAAGGACTTCTTTCTTACTTTTTTTCCTCAAATATGCCCATAAATTTTCAATGGAAGTTTAAGTCCGGACTTTGTGCGGGGTACATCAATACCATAATTTTGCTGTCATCTATTTTGTAACAATTTGTGTCATGTGTTTCAGGTCATTGTCATGTAGGAACATCCAATGACACCCCAAAGACAGCTTTTGTGCATTTTGATTTATATTATTTTTAAGAACAGCCAAATATTGCTCTTTCTCCATGATACCATGTATTCTCACTAGCTTTCCTGGTCCAGAAGCATCCCCATAGCAGAATGCTCCTACCACCAATCTTAATTGTAGGGAGGGTATTTTTGGGTTTGTGAGCTTCATTCCCTTTCCTCCATATAATAATGGGAGCTCATGTAACCAAATAATTTTGGCTTGGTTTCATCTGACCATAAAACACAGTTCCAATATTTACTCCCATGTTCTTAGTTGGCATAATTTAATCTGCATTTTAAGTGTTTTGCCTTAAGCAAGGGAATTTTCCTTGGGTGACAAGCTCGAAGTCCTATTTGATGAATACATTCAACCCTCATGTCTACATCACTGATGATATCTTTTGTCATTAAGTAAGGCTTCTTCAATATATCTCTAACAATTTTTGTTTTCCATTCTCTCAGAAATTACCCATTTTCAGCCATTCCCTAATTTATTCTCATCACAATGAGTCTCGTTGTACTTTTTGATAATGCTACAAATTTTTTGATCTAGGAATATTTAAACAGTTGGAAAGTGTTGTATTATTGATCACCTTGTTTGTACACATTAACTATCTTCATTCGCCATGGTTGCAGAATGAATGAATTATCATGGTACATGACACTCACATATTGTCTTCTTCATTACCTTTTAGAATGTTTTAGAAGCAGGTCAATACTATTTCATTTTCAAAGGGGATGTCAAATTAAGAAAAAAAAACATTACAATTAAGGTGGGGTAGTGAATAATTTTTAGAAAAATCTATAACTATGAATATAATAGATCGAAACTTCTAAAAATTTCAAGAATTATTCAAAACTAAATATGGAATCATCAATTATTTAAGGTAAATTCAATAAGTACTTGCAAATATTTGCATTCCCTTAGAAAATATACAAATATTCAGTGGGGGTGAATAATTCTGTCCACAACTCTGTGTGTGTGTGTGTGTGTGTGTATATATATATATATATATATATATATATATATATAAAAGTGAACATTGAAGTCAACTGACAGGCTGTTTCATGCTAGATGCAATCGTCAGGTTATTTAGTTCAGACACAATCGTCAGAACTTGTGGCCTGACGATTGCGTCTAGCATGAAACAGCCTGTCGCCTCTAAGTGTTGACATCAATGTTCACTTTTATATTTACACACGCTCTATCTCTGATATTGACCACTTTATCTCATAAATATAGCACACCTTAAGAGTATATTTCTTCATATATATATGTGTGTGTGTGTGTGTGTGTGTGAATGAAATAATGATATATATCAAGAACTGTATTGGGGAAATTTTATGATAGTCACAAGAAAACTTTTTACATTCTGTCATAAAATTGTGTGTCATTTGTGAATGTTGAATTCATTTCTTTTGAAAATGTTAATTATCTAATGAATGCCAAAATGGATTCCTCTTTGAGAGATAATATCCTTAATTTTCTACTCAATATTTTACCTGTAATTCCATTCTGAAATCTGAAAAAATTTCAAATATAAAAAGGTGTCTGGTTTCAAGGTTTACAAATAAGAAATTGAGTATCTGTAATTATTTATAACTGAATTTCTGGGACAAGGAGGCATCTTTTATTCATGCTATTTACAACTGGATTAATTATTTCATGCATTCAAAATTTGTCTTGTCTTGATTTTTAATCACAATCTCTCTACTAGAGTGTTGTCTGTAATCTTCTTCAGGCCTCTGTAATGTCTGGTAACCTTCAGAGAAGTGTTTAACAGAATCCTTTATTTTATCAAAGAGATTGTATTATTTATATTCATTGCTTTCTTTTTTTTTATTATATCCAATGTTCTAAGGGATGTAAATTGCTGGAAATATTGTGATAAAAACAACCAAGATGAGGATACAAGTCAGAAAGAATTATTGAGTAATAACAACACCTCCTCATGTCAAAAGTTTAGACAGTAATTCTTAGTAAATTAAAAATGTTTTGTCTGTATTTTTGAGATGAGGTAATTATTTACACTATTTACATTGTTCAGACTGTTGTCTTCATCTTTGTTGGCATATTCACAACATTTTGGATGCTGTACGCTCCGGCCTTCTACAACAATGTAAATAGTGTTAAAAATGTTTTCCTTTCATATTAATACTCAGGAATTAGAAAGTATTATTTATATATTCATTTGAAAAATAAGATTGAAAGTGAATTATGACAAGTAACTGACTTGAATGTGAATTTGAAAAGAAAGATCAAATGTTTCTTTAAGTTGGAAAGAAATTGTATTAAAGAGAATAAGTGACAACCTGAAGGGCTAAAGTTGCCTGTGAAGGAGGCGAAGAAGACACAAGCAGAGATGGCGTGATTCTTTCATGGCTGGTTGTGTTAGAAACTGAGCCATCAACCGAAGAGATGACTCCAATCCCTGCATTTGTTGTTGTGACAGATACTGGAGGGGAGGTGCCAGGCTGTGTGCTAGCTGTTTGCACCTGAGGACTCTGCACAACTTGGGCTACAGACTGTGCAATGGATGGCACCGGGGTGTTTTGCTGTGTTACAACAGTTGTAGCTGCTTGCTGTTGTTGCTGCTGCTGCTGCTGTTGTTGTTGCTGCTGCTGTTGCTGCTGTGCTGCATTAAGAGCTGTGGTCATCATAGAGATTCCCTTTAAAAAGACAGAATAGCACAAATAAAATTCAGATTGAAATTGTCAAGGGATAGACTGTTTTGTTTTATTATGCTATTCACCAAATACAAAGCCCAAGAGCTTCTCAAGGTAGAGGGTTACTGAACAAGGTTGTTGTAAGAGCATAAGAGGAGGAAGTAAAAAGTGCATATTATGAGGATAGGTAGGATAGATAATGTTTGACCCTAGACTTGAAGAGGTTAAGATTGTAATGATCCGGGAAGCATCCACTTGGGAGTTGGTTCCACAAAGTAACAGTCCTTGGGAAGTATCTGTCTAAGTGGAACTTCTTTCTTACTAATGAAATACCAAGAGAATGAGGATGATTTGATCCTGTGTACATGACATAGCAGATCTCAATTAGGAAGGTCTGAACTGGTGAAACTAAAGAGAGTAGATTGTCAGAAGATTTGCCATGAAGATAGCAATATATATATATATATATATATATATATATATATATATGGGTACCTCAAATTTTTAAAACTGAAAAATCTTTCTTGAAGCTTTCATTTTAGTTTTAATTTCAAGATAATAGTTTAAATTTAATATTTTTAATAAGCAAAATACTTTGTTTTATTTCAAACTGAATTTAAATTGATTGAAAGGAGTTCTTTTTTTTAAATTGCTAAATATTGCTGATTTTAGTCATCTGTCAGCACAATGTAATTCTTTTTATTAAAAATTAAAAAAAAATAAAACATACTTTTCTGAAACTTTGAAGAATATTAGCTGATTTAAAGTTTAATTAATCTGATTTGAAACAAATATAGTTTAAAATATTGCAAAAATGCATTTTTTAACATGGAGATAAGTGTTTTTATGAGGTGTTGAAAGCTTTGACAATCTGATAGTTCTACTGACAGTCAGAAATTTAACTAATTTTTTCAGGGGTGGGGCATATATGTAAAATTTGTATCTTGTAATGTGAGTGCCTGTTTTAGATAATTTTTTTAACTACCCAGTAATCTTAAAAATTCAGGAAAATATTCTTTGTAATCTAAAGTTTTATCAAATTTTAAGTGCTCTGGCTTTAAATTTACTATAGTTAGAACTCTTATTTTCTGATAATGTTGTGTATGGACATCCATATTTACAAAAATATTTAAAATACTGGGGGGTGGTACTGATTTATAGTAAACTTTTCTATTTATGATTAGTGAATATTGTTTATACTTAATAACAATATCACATAACCAACACAAAATCAACCGTAATTCTAGAGAAATGTGCTTCTGAGCTGGCTCCAGTTCTCTCTAACCTCTACAACTATTGCCTCACTGCTTCCTCTTTCCAGCTTGTTGAAAGTCCTCCGCTGTAGTTTTCGTTTTTAAGAACTGGAGAACCTTCTGAACCCTTGATCACTCTATTAGTCTCCTACCACTTTTAACCAAAGTATTCGAGGCTTTAATGTTAAGCATCTACCTCACATGACCTACTCTCTGACAAACAATATAGCTTCAATTTTGCCCAGTTGAATGCTGATGTGCTTACAGCCATTATTGAATATGTATATCAAGCTCTTGATATAATGGTAAGGCTCAAGCTGTGGATCTAGATTTCTTGAAGATGTTTGACAGGTTTTGGCATGCTGGTCTTCTATGTAAGCTCCAGGGTTATAGTATTACAGGACGATTGTTTGATTTAATCAAATCATTCTTATGAAATCATAAAATGAAGGTTGTTCTCAACTGATTCGGCTGCAGAGGAGCGTTCGGTTAGCAAGGTCAAATCAGTTAAGACATGTTAAGCTATATGAGGGTTCCATATAGGATACAGGTTCAATTCCTGTAGGAAGACAAATATTTTCTGTGAAAATTTCTCGGGCATTCAGGCCGGTAAATGTTGTTTAATACTGTTTATTATAAACAGAGCATTTACTTAAATATTTGTATCTATAAAAAGAATGCATAAACATAAAAATGTCTTTATATATATATATATATATTTTCTTTATTATTTAAGCATTAAAGTTAATTATGCAAAAAAAAAAAAAAAAAAAAGGAAAAAAAAGAAATACAATTTTCCTAACTCAAGAAAAAACTGGTGTGCTCAAAAAAAGAAAAAAAATATCTACATAACTGGAAGTCAAATGTAACAGTTAAAAGAAAAGAGGGAAAAGATTAAGGAGTGAGTTTAAAGTGGGAGAAAAAACAAAACACAAATAATCATGACATTCTACACACATGTGCAGCCTGGCATATGGTGTGTGTGTATATATATATATATATATATATATATATATATATATTATATACACACCATAGATAGGATATATGTATGTGCAGACATACATATATACTATCAAAAACAACTTACACCAATGAAAAGTGCATATAAAAAAGAAAAATCTAGACATAAGCAGACAATTGCTGATACCTACTGATGAGTGAATCGTGTAATTCCCAGAGGCTCTGTCTATGAAACTCTGGAGTCGAAATGCTGAAGGTAACATCAATCAGCTAAGTGACAAACCTATTACTTTTATTATATATATATATATAGTTCAAGAAAGACGTTTGGATCACTAACACAAAAAAGAAAATGTCTCATATCGAGAATATTTAACATCGAAAAACAAAGAAAAAAATGAATTATTTTTAATAATATGTGGAAATCTCCACCCTTTGCCGGTTGCGAGACTGGAAACACGTGTAGCAAAATTATGGAGAATAAAGCATAATATATTTTTTAAAATCCACATTACAACCAAAAACGTTTGTGGTTTCTCTCTTCTTTTTAATATACACACTTTTCTCTCGTTAGAACTACTATAACCTCTTCCTTTTATATATTTATATATATATATATATATATATTCTAGGTTTCATTTTTAGTAGTGTCAACACTGTAACTGGTATGAAAAAGACTTTTCAAAAACTAACCTGGTTTTGTAAAATGAACTGTGGCTGTAAATTTGGAGGTAGTTGTGTCGGATTTACCAGGACAAATTGTTGGAAAGGAGTTGCTTGTTGTGGAGATGTTGTCACCACTTGTGGTGTTGTGGAGGTTGTTGTGTATGTGACTTGGGTTGTTGGGGCTTTGGCAGTACATGCAGCTGTCTGTACAGTAGAAACTTGAAGTCGTGGCTGTGAAGATTGCGATTTGCCAAAAAAAAAAAAAAAAAAAAAAATTAATGGGTTAAATATTAAAGAGCCCTTAAAGGTATGTGAAGAAATATATACAATTTACCTTGAAAGATGTTTGAATGATTTCAATTTTTCTCTTCATTTCACACACACACACACATATATATATATATATATATATATATATATATATATAAACAATAACATAAATTGTATTTTGCGAAGAAACAGTTAACCAAGGTAATTTTAGGGAAGAACAAATTTAAAGTCATTTATGTCATGAAATAATGTCTTTTAAGTAAAATATGACTTCTTAAAAAATAAATACAATTTGTCATCAAGTCTTCTGAAGAGTGGATGTAATTCTGTGAAACTCAGTATAGATACAGCCATAAGTGTACAATGTGTGTGTGTGTGTATGAATAAAAATGAAAGGAAAACTTAGCCAACACATTCATCGTCTGAAGGACTTTATCAAGATAGATGTAAGGATTTTATTTGTGACAAGTATTTATATACAAGAGCAAAAATGTTATTGGTTTCTCAAAATTTTTAGGGTATAAGAGTGCTTATGAATATTCAACAGGTTAGCAGGTGTTGTAGCATACCTACAGATGATAATGAGTATGTCCCCATTCTCCTAAATACAGTAGTAAATTCTGTATGTTGGTCTCCAGTTGGATATTCATTGTGGAATTCACTTGACTCATTTCTAGCAGTTGACTACTTCTATGCACTGCTGGTGAATCTTATATGTGTTGTTCTTGTCCTAAGTATTATTGTTCATTACCAACCTTCGTTATATATTTTGAAAAACATGACATTGGAAAGAATCCAGGGTGCAGATTTTTTTTTTGATAAGATTTGATAGCATCACTTTTGAGAATTTTCCTTCTAAGTAAATTACTTTCTTTTCTAATAAGTGTAACATTCGTTAAATCAAAGTCGTGGTTGAATTTATTTCTATGTATAACTAATGCATTTGATAAATTGTTGCGTATAATGTCTTTTAGTGTGCTTGCTTCCTTCCTCTTCAATATCTACACAAATGATCAGCCCATCCACCCAAATACTAGAAGCTTTCTCTATGCAAATGATCTCTGAATTGCATCCTAGAAGCAATTTTTCGAGGAAGTTAAGACTTCACTCATCAGTGCTCTGGGTGGCCTTATCTCATACTATGCTGTCAACCACCTTTGAGCCAACCCTGACAAGACCCAAATCAGTGCCTCCCATCTATGGAACAAGGAAGCTAGCTGCCAGCTCAAGATCAACTGATATGCAAAAAGGGTTTAGAGTACATTTCCTACTTTGGTGTCACCCTGGACTGGTCTCTTATATACAAGGACCACATTAAGCCTAGAACAATAACCATGGGTATAATATACTCAGTGCAAATTTTCCTATTTTTAATTACAATTTTCAGTACCTGATTTTCTTACTTAAATAATGTTTTTCAGTTCCTATTAATGCTAACTCAAAGTACAAAGTTTGAAGTGCCTGCATGTAAGACATGTAAGATATTTCAAATAAAGATTTATATTTAATATTTTTTTTGATATTTTCAAAATCAGGTATGATATACCCATGGTTAGTAGTGGTATAACTTTAATTGATGGTTAGTGTTCTAGGGTCAAAAAGACTAAAGCCAAGGTCAGATCAAGAAACAACATCCTAAAGAAGGTGGTTAACACCAAATGAGGTGCCCCCGCCCATACAATCTGCACCATTCTCCTCTATAGCAGAATATGCCTCGCCAGTGTGAAACAGATCAATTACTGGCTGCCTGAAGCCAACCAAAGTAGATTATCAGTACTTGCTTAGTGGCATTGCTACTCCTTACATCAGAAGGACAGTCCATTCCGAATATAAAAAGTTGAAGCAAGAAACTGACCCTTGTCATCCACAGCTGTGAACCAATGACAAAGACACAGCTTTCTACATTTAGTTGAACTACTGAACAACAAAGCTCTTACCTAAATTGCCTCTGAACAGCTGTTGGTCACTGGAGAGTCAATCTTCAGAAATGGAGATATACTACCAATGATGACCCCAGCTGCCAATGCAGACAATTACAAACTACAAACTATGTAGCATCATCTAGTTTACCCCAATCTTGAATATCTATGAACACTTAATGATCTTGAAACCATAACCCCCTAGACAATGCTCTGTATGCAAAACTGGATGGGTGTAGTGCAGTGACTCAATAGGAAGAAGATCATCCACAGACAGAGATTTGCTGTATCACAGCTCATCAGTGTGGCTAGACATCCGATCACTTTAAGCCAAGACCGAAACCCGACCAATTTGTCATCAGTTGGAGATTCTAACCCCTAGGCTATCAGTGCCCGGCAGAGAGAAAGGCGAATTTTTGTGTATTTATTTTTTCATAAACATTCCAAGTGTTTATGAAAAAATAAATACGCACACACACACACACACACATACGTGTGTGTGTGTGTGTGTGTGTAAAGCACTTAACAACATGCACAGATACTACAATGATCTAATATTTACTTATCTCCTCATAATGGTAGTATGTGACATATGGTCAGTTTAATATGGGGTGCAAAGGCAAAAACTGTCCAATCACTACAATCTATGTCATATAGACATCATAATATTCATCATAATATTCCAACCGTACCTTTGTGTAACGGAGGTGATGCTGACACAATATTAGAACCCCATAGCTCAGGTTTGCTTTGTGCTATACTGTATCCTGGCTTAAAGCTTGAACATGGCCGAAGAGACAAACAGATATTACACTATTCCCTGTTTGAAAGCCAAGGAGCAGAAGTTCCAAGGAGTGACTTTTTGATCTAAAAGCATGGAGATACTACACTGATCCTTGGTCAGAAAGCGGACAGATATTCTGATCCCAGGCAAACGTTCCAATCTTTATGTAAATAATTCCAACATTTGTTTTTCTTTTTTCCCTTCCCAAATGAAAATGATTTAAAAAGAGAAAATACTGTTACTTCTCACCTGAGTAACAATTGATGAAATTGTTGAGGTCTGTTGTTGTTGTTGCGTTAGTGCAGCCTGCACAACTGCTTGTTGCTGCTGTTGAAGTTGCTGTTGATGCTGTAGTTGTTGCTGGATTTGTTGTTGCAGTTGCTGTAAGTCTTGTGTGGACAGCGGGAGACCTGCCGCAAGATTGGCTGACAGGGGGATCTGAAAACACAAAGGTAGAAGGTCAGTTTTAGTAATGGACCAGTCGGTAATTTATGAATGGTCAAATCAAATCTAGTCATAATCCTCAATTTTTTTTTTTTTTTTTTACTTAATAAAACGTATTGTCAATTTTTATACTATTTTTCAACACAAGACCCAAGAGCCACCCAAGGTAGAAGGTTATTGAATGGTTGTTGTAAGGGTGTAAATGGAGGATGTAAGAAGTGCATATATCAGCATATGCAGGATAGATAAAAATTGACCCTAGATTTGAAGAGTTTAAGATTGTAGTGGTCAGGGTTGCATCCTCTTCGGTGTCTGTTCCACAATATAACAGTTCTGTGGAAATATCTGTTTGGGTGAAATTTCCTCCTTACCAGAGGTATACAAAGAGAATGATGATGCGTGAACTGTCTATGTGGCATGATGGATCTTTTACTGGTTATAAAAGGAGGATCTCTTCTAAACCTTATACTATGGTCATGAAATGGTTTGGGCCCAAGATGCCATTGTTAAATTATTCTCTAATAATATGGCAACATGAATGTAAAACCTTATCATTTAACCCTGTAGTCTGCTGTTTCTCTTGAATGTGTTGTCAGAATAATATGTGGATATACAGGTGGTGTAATGGTTACTGATTCAGAAAGACAAATTGGTGAGCTGAATTCGAATTCTAGTTGAGTTTGGTACATTCACTTTCATACAAGTATCTTTGGGAAAGAGATGGACGCATCTCTTCTCTATCCCCATATGTTATGGCTTAAATAGCAGAGCTGATTGGTCTCAATTACCTTGAGATGGTAGTCAGTCTAGGAGAAGGAAAAACTTTGAATTTAAATCAAACTGAAGAGGGATATAGGCTCTGTCAAGCTATTTTGCCTGAGACACACCCACTGCTGCTATGGCTGCAGTACATATGGTACACTTATGACTCTGGTTATGGAACTCATAACATGACAGCACAATATAATGTATCACATTCAACCAATATATACATGGGTAGATCAAAAATTTTGATCTGAAATTTTCACTGTATAAAATTATAATCAATGTGATTAAAATACAACATGCATGTTTGTTTTCTAGTATTAAAAAATCAATAAACAGGTATTTTATTCGTTTTATACTTATTTAATATAATTGTCATTTTCTGTTATTGTTAATGTCGATACACACTGAATTTAGAAGTTAATATTTTAGCTACCAAATTTCTTCCCTGGTGTTTTAATATTAACTAACACCAAAGATAAATTGATAGGCTCAACATTAACAACAACAGAACATTACAACTATATTAAATAACAATACTTAATTAAATAAAAACATTAATAAATCTTAATAAAATACTAGTTTTGTGATTGTTTAATACTAGTACAGTATCCAATTGGAAAACCAGAACCTAGCAGTTCATGTCTCCTCTGACCTAACTCAGGTGGCTCAATGAGGAAAGGACTAGCTTGTAAAATTCAATATGGCCAAAACTAAACTAGTAACATTCCACTACCACTGAACAGGCCCTGAACCTAAACCCACCATTATTGATGGGCTTTCTTTCAAGGAAGCTCTTTGTTGTTAATGTTTATAGGGACTCAAGTTCTCCTCAGACCTCAAGTAGAACTCATATATCTGATCTATTGCTAAAGATGCTGGAAAAAGGGTCAGTTCATTGTACCACCCAGTAAGTATCCGAGTCCCTCTACCATACTCTATACAAGAGCCAGATCAGACTAAAAAGAGAGTACTGCAGCCATATCCAGACACGAGCTGCCCAGCCCTCACTTGCCTGTCTTGATAGAGTTCAAAAGTGTCTGCATGGCCTTGTGACTGATGAATTATTTTCCACCCTACAACCATGTTCCCAGAGACAAAAAGTTGCGAGTCTCTTACTGCTCTATCACTACTTGATGGCAATATGTTCTGATGAGCTACATTTCTTAGTCCTACCACCTCTGACCTTTACAACTGGAACCCACCATGCTATGTACACAAGTGTGAATCATACCCATTCCCTTTGTATTCCAATAGTAAGAAGTAAATTCCATTCAGACAGCTTCTTCCGAAAAACTGCTGCTTTGTGGAACAGACACCTAGCAGGATGTTTTCACAACCACTATCATCTTAACCTCTTCAAGGGTTACCATAACTTCCCATGTATAATATGTATTTTTTTTTAAAAGATAAAAAGCAAAATCAGGGATGCATATTATGCACATCGACAAAAAATCTTTAAAAAATTGCCATAAAATAAGAATTATCATAAAACTAAATTAGAATAAAATTACTCTATGTTTAAAACCATTTTTTTTTAAATAAGAGTAGGAAACACTGGCTGTAATGAAATTGGAGAAGTACAATTTATAAGGTTTGATTACCAAACAAGGGGTGCATATTATGCGTGAGTAGAAGCATTTTTCCACACTTTCAGCATAATTTTAGGTGTGTGTATTATGGATGAAGGTGTATTATACATGAGGAATTACGGTAACCATTATCTTTTCTGCCTAACCTCATGAACTTCATTTATTACCTTTTCTTGACTTTATGCTCATATAACACCCTTTACCTTGAGTGGCTCTTGGGTGAACATTAGTATATATTAAAAAAAGAATATCACGCCAACATCCACCTTGCTAATATTGCCCGTGAATGCAGTTTTTCCACCCATAGCCACTCAACTCTTCTTATAGATGTCTTTTAAAGGATGCCTTGTACCTGGTGTTACATTATGCCAATTGATTTAAAATGCAATATCTTGTGCTTCTTAACTTTTCTTTGATGGCACAATGCTTAAATATTTTGTAGCTTGTTTTTTTTTTTTATCTCTTCTCTCTTGACATGGGACACAAATTGAAAACATTGAATCTTTAACTTACATTTCTTTTTTGTTTTAGTAAATGTTCACCCAATACAAGGCCCAAGAGCCACTAAAGGTAGAGGCTTACTAAATGAGGTTGTTGTATGGATGTAAGTGGTGGAAGTGAGTGCAGATTATGAGGATAAATAACACTTGACCCTAGACTTGGAAAGGGTTCAGATTGTAGATATTGAAGAAGCATCCACTTAGTTGCCTGTTCTACAGAATAGCAATTCTTGGGAAGAAGCTGTTTGAGTGAAACTTCCTTTTTACCTATAGAATACTAAGGGAATGTGGACGATTCAATGTAGTTAGTCTGTACATTAGCTTTGAAAGTAATGATAGGCTTGCAATATTTAGGCATTCAGGATCTTTAATAAACTCCTTCATAGGCACATGCCAATTATTTTCATAATTTTCAGTTTTGTTATACTCTTTGAAAGCTCTGAAAATATCAAACATTTGAATTCATCCATCAAATCGAACTTAGAATCCATTTTAAAACTTTAAACATGTGGTTATTATATTTCGTACAAATGGTTGTCGTTTGTTTACATCTGTGCAGAATGAACCGGCTTTCATCATAATTGCAAAGATCAATGTTACCTTCATCTAGAAAAGAAACCTTTAGATTCCAATAAGTATTTATTTTAAATATCAATAAAACATGAAGTGACTAACAGCATTAGATGCAATAAATTTTCATTTCATTTTATAAATGTTTCTTTTTTTGTTACTTATTTTATTAGTAATTTTACTCTATCTCATGATTGTTGCTTTTTATCCCAAAAGTCTGGGTCAGTACACTCATTGGCAAACATGAACCTTCATGCCCACAAAAAGAATGTTGTGTCAAAAGAATGTTTTTTTCCCACAATACTGCTATTATTTTAACTAACTTCATTCCTCAGCAATGTTTATTCTTTTAAAAAGCCATTATTAGAATTGTAATAAAACAAACATATGAAGTGAATTTATACATTTTCTTTGTTATTGAGAATTTACAACAGAAATAATAAACATTATTTAATATATTGTTTATTGGAACAGTTGGCAGTTGATTTGAACTTTATAAAATGGTACATATAAGGATTTCCTTATAGTTGGTTCACATATTTTAATAATTTAGTAAATGTTTATAAATTTATGAACAAAAAAATTGCTTTCATATTTATTCTTTTATAAATTGATAAATATTGCATTGCATTAGTTTTTAGAATGTTGTAAATATAAAATTATTCTTGTACTATTTATAATATTGTTGTAAATTCTCAAGAACAAAAAAATATTTATAAATTCACTTTCATTATATGTTTAGGTTTTACAAAAATTCTAATCATCACTGTTTAGAACAACAAACTGAAGAGTAAGGGTAGTTAAAATAAAAGTGGTGTCATGGGAGAAACCATCTTTTTTTACAATCTGTTTTTTTTTTGTGGGTACGAAGTTCCATATTTGCTCACACTTCATTACTATTATTTTATTATTTGTTTTATTGAATCTAATTATTGTAGCTTTTTATCATAACATCCTGGTTCAATACACATTCCATTATTACTATTATTTTATTACTAGTTTTACTCTGCTGTCTTATTGTTGCTTTTTATCCGAAAACTCTGGATCAATACACTCTTCATCCTGAAGAGGGATAGGTTCTGTTAGGCTATCTTTTCCTAGACACAGTACTTCTGCTATGATTACCGTATATATGGTACCCCTAATGGGTTACGGGACTCATGAAGTGTCGAGACGAGACAAGACCTGTAACTGTTCAAATCATTTTAGACAAATGGCTGCCATTTCTATATATGTGCTCAGAATGAATTGGCTTTCATTCTAACTGTGCAGATAAATCAGGGGTCAGCAACCTTTTGGAGTGAGAGTGCCAAAAAGCTATGCAGTGTCTTGGCCATGATATCAAATTTATTATAATAAATTGTCTTGACCCTTGACCGCAACATCCAGAAGACTGCTTTGGTCTGGAGGTTTAAAGAAAAAACAACAAAGTTAATGTTATATTATTTAAACAAGTTTCCTTATTTTACTTCAGGTATAACAGGATAACAACTAACATAAAAAATGCAAATTCCTTACTATAAATGAAATACAGTTAAAAATGGCAAATTATTTAATGAGACACTTGTTTCTGTTTATAGTTTGATAACTTCTCCACATCAGGTGAAATATTTACCGGCAACAGAAGCAAAACATCATCCAGGTAGTCATCACCCAAACTTTTTTGAAAAACGATTTTAGTAGATTTCATTTTTGAAAAAGTTGTCCACAAGCATATGTACTTCCAAATAATGATACCATTCAATAGGCTTTTTATATTTTCTGCTTGGCAAAACATATTTCATGTAGAAGTCAGCAGTGTATTCGCAATTACATTTTGATTTAAAAAATCCGTCACATTGTAAGTTGATTAACTCCAAGTGATATGTTTCTGCCACTTGCTACAAAAATTAATTAAATAATTTGTGTCCAGGTGTTAAAATTGGTGGGCCAGACAAAATTCCTTTGTGGACCGGATGTGACCCATGGGTTGCCAACCCCTATTATTCAGCAAAGAAATGTTTAGATTCAAAAAAGTATTTATTTTATATATATGGATGAAGTTGCTAATAATGTGAAACATTTTATATAGAAGAAAGATTATAAAACATTTTGGAAAGGGATTAAGAGGAGGTTAGAAGCAATAACTAACCACAGCCTGCTGCCCAAACTGTCCTTGGATGATGAAGCCTGTGGGTGGCATGGAGATGGACTGTGGAATGATATGTTGAATTGTCTGAGTGCCTGGAGCAGCGACTGTTGTCGTGATTCCTCCAGCTGGCTGGACTGTAGTTGCAGCAGCAGCCGTCGTGAATGAGTGGCTGTCTGTAACCTTGAAAACACAGATATAACAATTATAATCACAGATACAAAAAATAAGTTGTTTAATATGATTTGATTGTTAGATACTTTTTTTATAGAACAAGAAAACTATCTAAAAGTCTTGCTGGTACAATATGCATTTTAGCTATGGGTTAAATAGTAGGGCAGTCTTGAGTCTCTAGCCTTGGTTGGCAACCAGTCTAAGAGAAGGACAACTCTGTATTCAAATCCGTATGTAGCTCCAGTGAAACACGTACTATGCAGCTAAGGAAAGTATCATGGAGTTCACATTGATTATGATCTTGACTACAGTTGACTTTTTTGAATAACAAACTTTGTTTTTTAACTATTTGTTTATGCAATTCATATTATGGGATGGATTTATAAAATTCATCACAATGATTATTCATGTTAATGATACATTGACATGGCAAATACTAAAAGCACCTATAGGAAGTAAAAAGATGCTAAATTTCCATAGTACATTTAGTATGTGAACAGATATAGTGAATATAATTTAAAAAAGACTTATTTAATACTCATTTTCAACTATATAACCCAGTGACACACAGAGGTTTGGTGATGCCCAGGGTCAACTCCTTGATTGTATGCCCCTAGACTCAAGTAAGGGGTACCTACTCTGGTCTTGCTTATCAAAACACAGATCTATATTCACACTAGCTTGTGGGAAGCTTGAACAATGAAGTTAACAGAGACAATTTCAAATTTCAAAAACTAAATTTTTATTTCATTCTTTGATTGGATGCCAAATAATATGGATGACTGGGGCCATTGAACCCTCTTCCTCCACCTCTGCATGCTACTGTAGAAAAATAAAATTATTAATTTTATCGGCATGATTAATAGACAGAAAAATTGCATATGCCTCACAAGAATTTGTAAAAACCTAATCTTGGTGAATACTGGTTTTGGTGCAAATGGTTTTAAGTCATGAATATAGCAATGAATAAAAATATCAATATATCAGTATAGAAATTTGTTTGTTTAGCAAAATACAATGTCTTTGGCACAAGGCTGAAGGGAAAGCAGGAGTGGTTGGTCATCAGTAACTATCTTGCTCCTACCTAGTTTGATTCCTAACCCATCCATTCTAACAATTAACACAAGCACTGTAAATACTCATCCTTCACCATTCTGTTCAAATATGCACTATAATACCACATTTTCACAGCGTCCTAATAATATATATATATATATATATATATATAGAAAAAGTTGCAAATTAAAAAAATAATAATGTTTTTTATGAAAGTATTTATTTATTTATTTATATATATATATTTGATATTTCAGATTGACCTCAGTCTTTCTTCAGAAATAACTGTTTGTTTACAAGTAGCATTCGTCGCGAGATGCGGATGTCACGTGATATGGAACGCCACTGTGTTCGAATATTCTTAACGTAACTGTAATAATATTTTAGATGTTGTTTAAAAAGAAAATTTTTAACTATATCTAAAAAAACAAATGTGTGTTTGTATATATATATATATATATATATATATATATATATATATATATATATATAAAATTATTTTTATAAAAAAAATTTTGTTTAACAAACTGATCACTTGATAAGACACATGTTGGAAAAAATCACTACAAAATTTTTAGCCATTTTTTTCAACATAATGTTTATGTTATAATTTTTTATAAAAAATAATTATATCTGCTCTACTTTGTATTGAGCATTCTTTTTTAAGAATAGTAATTGTTGGTTATTGGAATTCATTCCGTATATACCAATTATATACTTTGAGATATATATATATATATATATATATATATATATATATATATATATATATATATATACACACACACATTATTATATATATATATATATATATATATATATACACACACATATATATATATATATATATATATATATTTTTTTTTTACAAAAAATATAAAAGGAGGGGGATAAACTCATTAAATCAAATAAAAAGTTCAACTAAACAATTGAAAAGAAACGAAAACTGTTAGTAAGGTACCGTCCACCTAACAAAAAAATGAGAATGGCTGTCCTGCTGTATTCTGCCATCAAAAAGAATTAAGGAGCTAGAGGCAGGGCAGGAGCAAAAGAAAATATGAAATTAAGAAAATGTCAAATGTTGTGCCAATCAAATAAAAAAAAAAAAAAAGGGATGTATGGAATCTTGCAAAGGACCACAACAAAAGAGGGAGCTGAGAATGACAATTACTCACTTTAACAAGAAAACTGGCCTAACAAGGGTTAAGCATAGAAAATTTGGCCAGTCAGTAACAATCTTGACTGTCAGAGAAAAAACAAAATCATGAACCAACCATTGGGAGACCAAAAAAAAAAATTCCTTTTTCCTTCTGTTTCTCAGCCTGTTTAAACAATTTGAAAAAAAGCTTTAAAAAAGGTACAGATTAAGTGTTTCAAGATACACTGCATTTCCTGGTCAAAGATATGACAAAATAAAAACTGGTGTTTTTGATGGACCACAAATTAGGAAATTAATAAAAGACACAAATTTTACAAACTCAATAACTGACATGAAGAAATGAGAAAATGGGGATCCTTTATGTCTGTTGTGAAAATTTTTTCAGTAATACACAAGGTGAAAATTAAGGTCAAAACATTGTTTGAAAGTTTTCATCTTTTGGGGTGCATAAAGATTCATTTCCTCAACAACCATCTTGAAAAACATAACATAACATAAGTGATATGAGCAACAAGCATGATGAATACGTTTATCAAGATATTAAGTTTATGGAGGAAAGTTATCAGAACATTGACATTGTCTAGATATCAAGCACTCCAAAAGTTCCCAAACATGAAAATTTATTCCATGAACATATAGTTTCCTTACAAAAATATTAATATTCAAAATTATTTTAACAAGATGAGAATTATCCAAATGTAAATTAATATTTATATTGTCAGACTTGGTTGATATACTTTCAACCGCAGCAGCAACTAAAATTTATAACACATGTAACTAGAAGAAAAAAATGACAATTAAGATGTTGACTTTCCACACAACTACAAACTAAAGGACAGGAAGGAAACTCCTATTCATACTGGAAAGAGCAATAACAGTGAATTTCAGAAGACTGTTTTTTTGAAAAACTGTTTTAAGAAAAAGACTTTATAAATTTTAATTGACAGTTATTGCTGTTTGGTCAATGAATGCCAATGAAATGACTAATCTTACCATTACCATGCATCATGATTTTGAGCAAGATTGAAGTGATTTAGCAAATTATCTTAATCAGACAATTTACACTGCACATCACAAAGATATACCACAGAGAAAAAAACACTTGATCTAATAAGCAAAAACAGATGCTATTTTTAAAATCAGTGACCACAAAACAACTCTCAAACCTTAGTCACAAGAAATAGATTGGCCAGTGTAATGTATATATGTGTCAATATATACATACTAAATGTATGTATATGTTAATATATACTTACTAAATTCAAAGGTTTTGCATCTTCTTCACCTTCATTATCTGTTAACATCGTTTCTTGTCCATGTGTAGCTTCCCCATTAAGATTGTTCTGAGCTGCAATGGAGAAAATTGGGAAAAATAATATTAAGATAAGGAAATAATAAAATCCATTGCACCTGAAATAAAGAGAACCAAAAAACCTTTTGTTATAGAGATTCTTACTTATTAAGGACTGACACTCACCTGTCCAGGTGTTGTTTTCAATGTATAGGTATGTAACAAAATGAAGCTACCAATTGTAATGACATTCAGTTGAACGTATTAATGTTTTAAAAATTGAATTCAACTTATATGTTTTTTTTTTTTGTTTTTTTTTTATATACAGAACAACATAGCCCAGAAAAGAGAGAAAAATATATTTACATAATTATCTATAGTGTGTGTGTGTGTGTATTTGTGATGTACTACATGGATCATTTGAGACCAAAAAGTTGGCTCGTATAGGGGATTAAGTCATCCTGGAGGTTAAACAAAACATGACTTGTCACTATGGCATTATATTATTATGAAATGAATAAAGTCTGATAATTATTTTAATATATTTTATGTTTACACATTATTTTTATAGATGCAAATATTTAAATAAATGCTCTGTTTATAATAATTATAATGTAAGTATAATTTACAAGCAGTGAAATTAGCATCTAATGGTCTGGGTCAGAGTTTCCCAGCCTGGTTGATATTGTATTGTCCACCTGTAAGCAATTTCAACTGCTGGGTGGGCATTTAGAAATTTTGGTAGGTGATATAGGATTGTGAGTATTAAAAAATTATTTCAATATATACAACCTGAAAAAAAAAAAAAAAAAAAGTACTCAAAGGGAATATGTAAAGAACTTGTAAAAAAAAAAAAAAAAAAAAAAAGAAAAAATAGAAGGTTAATTGGGAATAAGTGGGTCATAGGTCACATTCATAGATAAGATATAAATATTTCTGTAAACAATGAATATTTTTTATAGTTATGAGAAGGGTCATTAATATTCACATAGTTTTTCAGACAAAATAATAACATTTCGGATATAACTCAGATAAGGGGAGGCCAAGAACAACAAAAAAATATTTGATGGATTTTTATTAGTTGCTAATAGCATATATTCTTTTTAATTTTATTATTATGAACAAAAAAAAAATGTTTAAATTTTTTATCAACACTTTAACACTAACCAAAACCATAAAATTTACTTTAACTATAAAACTAAATTATATATGTATGTAAGTTTGCTTTCATTTGTTCTTTAAGTAGCAGCCACTGCATAAGTCAGCATTATTTATTACCTCCCATTGATATTTTTTTTACTCCATCATAAAGTCAGTTGATGAATAAGTAACAAACTTTTATCAAACAATTTTAGTATACTTTTGAATATTTACTATATAGGTGGGCAGTAGAAAATTTTCTGTGTGAAAGTGAGTGATGACAAAATAAAGTTTGGGAATCCCTTGCCTAAGTACTCACCTGGTTTTGCACTTTTGGATTACCACTTATTTTGATCTATACAAAATTCTTTTTATAGAAAGAACTTCAATTTTCTGGAAACATGTAAAAACCACTTAGATGGGTTCATCACTTTGAAAGATGTCAAGCTTTGGGAGAATGAAATCATAAAGCTACCTTAAAAGTGGCAAAAGGTAGTGGAACAAAATGGCACTTATGTAGTTGAATAAATTTATATAGATATATTGTCTTTGAAATTAATTTAACAAATGCTACAAACTTTTGTTCCAATCCAATGTTAGATTTTGTAAAAGAAATTAAAATTGAAATTAAACAGGTAAATTTTTATATGTGATCTAAAAAGAATTTAAAAGCTTAATTAACCCACTAACTGTAAACAATGGACAGAGTTAATGGTCAGACACTTGAAAAAAAACAATACATTAAATATAAACATATTTTCTGTTTGAATTTCTGGGATGAGGAGTTATCATTATTTATATTCAGACTATTGACTTCATCTTTGTTTTTGCTATCACAACATTTTGGATATGCCCTTTGGTTTTCATCAGGTGTATATCAATATGGATAACATAAAAGGTATTCTGAACTGAACCCTTTATTTATGTGGATAGACTGTTCTTGTTCCACTGCCCATGTCTAATGATACCATTTAGTTCTCATTTTTTAGTATTGCTCACCCATTTTCACTTAGTCTAAGTACACACTGCCCGGCTCAGGGATTGAACTCATACTATGTCACCAAATTCACAAACCAATGCTTTAATTCACTAGGCTATTGTCCTAGTGGATTAAAGGGTTCAGTTCAGCATTCCCTGTATGTTACCCAGATCAGTATACACCTGATGAAAGCCAAAAGGCACAACAGCTGAAATGTTGTGATAACAACAACAAAGATGAGGACAATAGTTTGAATATAGTGTAAATAATAAACATATTTATCCATCAGTTTATAAATAATCCCAAAATACTGAACTGGGAAACCACAATATGTGAATATTTATATTATTATTAGACAAGTGATAATTTTTATTTTTCATTTTTGAAAAGAAAAATTAATTTAAAGTCAAAACTTCTCTCTCTAATGATCAGTTTTCCACTCCAGGGAACTATTATATTTCCAAGTATTAAGAAAAAAGTTTTCAGTTATGTGTTCAGGCATATTGATAACAATGTAAAAATGTAGAGAAAGCCATCAAAACAGATGCGGCATGATGCTGGAATAGACATTATGCACAATCACACCAGATGTCAAGGAAGCCAGGTATACCAGATGGCTGACCTGGAATCAATCCTGGCTGCTGAGTAAAGTAACATGTCACCTCACACCTACATCTGATTTGAAAACATGAGGAAGATTTTGTAATGCATGTGGTTATATAAACAACTACTCTAGGACAGTATCTTATACATTGCAAAAAGAATGTAAGGTCCATGTATCACACCACAAACAGAGAGTAACTGGTGAAATATTGGAGTTAAGGAAATGTTAAGTAATAAAGATTCATGTTATAATTTCGCCAGCACATCTATTTCATTAGCCAAGTCTTTAAATGGTAAATCCAGTAAGTTGCTTTAAAAGTCCCACAGGTATTCTTTGTAAAATCTAAAAGGACACATGGTACTTTATTTGAGGAATCAACCCTTGTATTCAGGTGACAAGTACAAAATGTAAACACACTTGGCTAAAGTAAACAATACCACAAATGAAAACCTTTTGGAGTAATTAATAGAATGACTAGAATTCTGGGAAGATAAATAAATATAAAGTGAATCAATTCTTGAACTTAAACCAGTATTTCTTTTTCTGGCATCATTAGTTTCACATGATGAACATGGGAAAATCTGAAAATTAAAAGAAGATTCTAATGTAATCTTTACCTTATTTTAAGTTTATTGAATGTTATATTGAAAAAAACGTTTATTATAAACATATTTTATTATGCAACCTGATAATTTTTGATTTCGAAAACTATTTAGAATTTAGTGGACCAAAAATTAATATTTCAACTATTTAAATTGTATCCTTGCTACAACATTACAATTGTACTCTTGCTACAATATCTCAAAATATGTGTCTTCTGACAGGAATTGAAACTGTATCCTACATGGAATCATCATATAGCCTGATGTGCTATACCATTTAGCTACAGAGGAAGAATTTGGTTAGCAAGGTTATGTCGGAGGACACATATTTCCATGGAAATTTCTTGTACATTCAGTCTGGTAGATATTATTAATACTGTTTATTATAAACAGAGCATTTACTTAAATATTTCTATCTATAAAAATAATGTATAAACAATAAATATATTCAAATAATTGTCTGACTTAGTTCATTTCATAATATATATACTAATAATTACACATATACCTATGTTTACAGTACAACTCAGAGTTTGATTGTATCTCTTTATTTAGATCATTTATTTATATAGGCTTTTTGAATTTGTAGGCCTGATGAATTGGATCGTATTTACAATTCCAATGGAATAAATTATGACCATGGAATATTAGTTTTTAAGCCTTTTTATTATATATATATATCAAAAATACTTTTAAAACCTTTGGGAGCAGGTTTCTCACACCATAACAAGGACAAAGTTGGCTGAGCCTTCAGTCTGAAAATGCAATCTCATACAGCTGTGCAGCCTCGGGGCCATATATAAAAATCATATGTGCCTGCTCACGATATGAATATCCTGCCATTGTTAAATGCAACACTACTACACATGTTAAATGTTGAAGACAGACTAGTCACAAATGTACACAAATGACAATGACAACACAACACCACCTACCATAAACTTTCTTTCAACTTAACTCAAAAATGAAGGATTTACAGACAAATGTTTATGTGGATGTTTGTCTTTGTTTTGGTGAGAAGAAACCATCTCCAAAGTTTGTAATAGTATTTTTGATACACCCTGTATATGTTGTTTAAAATTTGCTATATTTATATGGAAATATGGGCATCCACTAATGTTTGAAGTCATAAATTGTTGTAATGGAATGTCCCACACTCCCTATTGCCTATGTAGTTGGTTTGGGTTGTTTTGTTTTACAGCATATCAACCTCAATGGGTTATTTCATGCTGTTATGGTGATCTATCTACATTAGAATGAACTCTTCCTCCTTCATAAATACTAACCTGCGAGACTTCCTAAGGGGGCAGTCGGGATGCAATGTAACCTGACAGTTCGGACAGACACTTCTATCTGCTGACTAATAACACTCTTATTTTGTATATATGTTCTGTTATTTCAATACACTTGTTCAACCTACTTTCTTTTTGTGTCTTTCTTTCTGGCCTCTAATAGGCCACAACAACTTGGTGATGAGGATTTGCAAGGACCACCGGGATTAAAAAAGAACTCTCCTAAAACACTGGCAAATGAGTTTTCATAAAAGAACTACATGTAATTGCCAATTTGTTTTAACAGTGGATGTACAAGAAATTTGTTTTTTAGCATCTGGAAAAAACAGAAAAGTAAAACCGGAAAAAAAAAAAACAAAAAGAAAAAAAAAGGCACACTTATGGAGGATTTAAAAAGTATTTTATTAGATCTTGTAAAGTACCAGAATGCACAGCAATTA